TTTCATATGGAAACAAGACTCTGTTATAGGTTTTCAACCATGAGAAGTTTAGTAAACACACTATGGACTATAAGCGCCATTTATTGTCGCATGAGACATGTGTATTTTCAAGTTTCCATGCTAAAAAGTGACTTGAGCTGACACTTCAACACTTGAAGTGACTTGAAGTGATCTGAAGTGACTTGAGGTGACACTTCAACACTTCAAGTGCAATTTCTGATTAAGATGAGACGTCTCCCAGCTCTACACGACCTTTCTTCGCTAACTAATAGAATTTACAAGAAAAGCCCTAAATTAATTTCTTCTTATTTCGGTAGCTTTTAGCTGACGATGGACATTTAGGACTTTCCTTGGAAGTTCCATAACTTTGCAAAGAAGGGTCGTGTAGAGCTGGGAGATGTCTCATTTTAACAAGGGGGAAATAGCGGACTTCTGGACTCCTGGACTCCTATGAACTCCTAGGACTCCTTTGGACTCCTATAGACTCCTGGACTCCTGAAGTCCAGGAGTCCAAGAACAAAGTGTTCTTTTTTGGGAATCACTTCCCAAAAAAGAACACTTTGTTCTTGTACTCCTGGACTTCAGGAGTCCAGGAGTTCATAGGAGTCCAACGGAGTCCAACGGAGTCCTAGGAGTCCATAGGAGTCCAGGAGTCCGCTATTTCCCCCTTGCATTTTAATCATCCTTCATACCAAAATTACGTGGAATAACTCATTTCTGCCTATTTTCGAGGATAATTAGAAAAGTCATAATCCAGTCAAGAGTAATCTAAATTATGTCAGAATATCAAGATGTACTCTATTTTACCTGCTCAAGACGATTTTTTACTTCAGAATAGTAAAAAGCATCCTTGTAGTCAAAAGATTTCTAGAAAACCGTTTCAAAAGCGAAGTTATTTGGTGTTGATTTTTAAAGCTTTTATTGAACTGCATAGTATTGAGCACATAAAATAGAGTACATCTTGATATTCTGACATAATTTAGATTACTCTTGACTGGATTATGAATTTTTTAATTATACTCGAAAATAGGCAAAAATGAGTTATTTCATCTAATATAGGTTTTCAGCCGGTTGTTGAAGGTTTTCTGAAAAACAAATATTGCCATGAGAGTCAGCGTGGTTGATTACCTAGGTTTCCATTATTTTTGAAATTACCACATTCACACTATCTTAAATTATAGGAAAATATCTGGATAGAACGTTTCATAACTCACATTTAAAAATAATTCTCACATTACCTCCATTAGTGATGTAGAAAAATCGTATGTATCATGAATGGCATAATAAAAGCCTTGACAAACTTTTTCGAACGTTTCTCCTTTAATAATAGCGTAACAGAGAGGCACATGCTTATACGTGTGTATGTTTACTATGTACGCAAAACGCTCAAGAATAGAAGTAAGGACAATGTTTCATTGTTTTCATCGTTTTCTTCGAAATTATTAACGCATAACGAATAGTCATGATTGCGAGTGAAAGTAATTTGTAGTGCTTCACGTGTAGAAAGAAGTTGAAATTAAAACGTTAACAGTGAAAGTGAAATCATTTAAAGTCTAATGTCATCGAAATGTGAAGGAAATGGAAGAAACTTTTGTGAATTTTCTCGTAAAGTTCATTTACAAATGGAGAAAGCTGAGTACATTGTGTGTGTAGAACACTCTTCATTCATAGCAGTGATAATGGAAAAATAGATAGCGTAATATATTTACTAACTTTGTGTTCTTTAGAAACAATGCAGCGATATATTTCTTACGCATTATTTCAGTAGAGTAACACATGTTTTATAGTTTTCCGTCCTTATATACTGATGGAACTATTAGTTTGTTACACGACTGTATTAGATGAGGTCCTGGCGCTAAATTGTATCGCTATTATACCCCTTGTTCGCTCCACTTTAAGGGGAAACTGACTCCGGGAAAACTTTTCTTCTCTTTCGTGATTTCAGAATGACCAAAAGCAAATCTTCACAAGATCTTTATTTTCTGTTAGAGCTTTGTTAATTTACGCTTTTGTATATTCTGAATTCCCGTAAGCAATAGCTGAATTCAGTACTTTGAATAGTACATATGTCTAGTCATCTATTAATATTATTCAGACGTCTCAGTTTAAGAAGAAGAACTATACGAAAATGTACGGAATATAGGTTATCTGAACAACGGCTAGGACTTATTAGATGTGATCTTTTGACGCACCTGTCAAGTTAAATGGAGAATTAATATGCATTTTCTACATTAAAAACAATGTTAATTGTGGTTTTCTCAAACAATCTTATTGTCAAATGCTTTGCTGGAAAGAGTATGAAAAACTGCACAAAACTGTCGGCTTAGAACTTTTATATAATGAACTTTAAAATCGTTTCTTTAAATAATTAATATCGTACAAAACCATTGTTAAAATTAACGAAACTGAAGGACATCAATAGGTCATAGAGGCGAACGCAGAAAGTGTATAGGGGTATCGTTTTGTAGTTTTTGGAATCACGATATTCTAATTACTTGAAGTGACTGGAAGCGACACTTCGACACTTGACGTGACTTGAAGTGACACTTGAATACTTGAAGTGACTTGAAGTGACTTGAGCTCACACTTGAAGTAACACTTGAAGTGGCTTGAAGTGAATTGAGGCGACACCCGAAGTGACTTGAAGTGACTTGGGAATATAGGTTGACTGCACAACGGCTAGGACTTATTAGATGTGATCTTTTGACGCACCTCTCAAGTAAAATGGAGAATTAATATGCATTTTCTACATTAAAAACAATCATAGCACAGTTTCATATACGCTGTCTGAAAATTGTAATTGTAGCATCGTATTAGATGCAAACCTGCAAACACAATTTGTGAGCGCTTGGAGAAGATTGGTACAGCCTTGTGTTTTTCTAATAAGAGTTTCGTGTTCTCCATAACTCCACGTTTTTAGTCTCTGAAAACGTTGGCTCGTTGCGACAAATAATTTTTAAAAACGTATCAAGAAATTTTCTCTAAAAACTGAACAATTCCACATTTCTTGTTCTTTTAATTGTAGCGACATTACCATACGTTTGATTTTAATAAATCATATATCAGTTTTGAACGAGTAACACGAAAAAAGTGATCGAAATCTGATAGCTTTTAGGTTCGTTGCCGAAAACAATTAAACAAAGTGCCATTAGAAAACAAAGACGATGTTTTACAACAAATCTTATGACAGAACATTTTATTGAACCTGGAGCAATTATTAGTGAAATTCTCTATAAAACTGCACATTGAAGTACAGCCTTCGAAACAGGCCGAAAATTGTTCAGCAATAATTAACATCAGAGTCAGTATATTCATGAAAATTACGGCATCTTGATGGTTCACCGTGCACCCCAATGAAATAGGTATACATTTTAGCATACACGTTCATTCTCTCTTCTCATCCGCTCCTGCCCTAAGCTTTTCTGTTCTTAGATGTTCGAATTTTTATTGGTTCTTTCTGACATGTCCTTTCTGGCTATAGAAGCCGCATTTTTCTCCAACAGCAACAATTAATTTGAACAATGGTTTTGTACGATGTCGGTTATTTAAACAAAAGATTTTAAATTTCATTATATAAAAATTCTAAGCGGACAGTTTTGTGCAGTTTTTCATACTCTTTCCGGCAAAGCATTTGACAATAAGAATGTTGGGGAAAACCACAATTAACAAATCGCGCACAGCAGTTTTGTAAATTAGAATATCGTTATTCCAGAGAACGTTTCATTTCGACACCAGAACTCGAAAAAGAAAGAGTAAGTAAAGCAATTAGCTCAGGTCACTTCAAGTGTCACCTCAAGTCACTTCAAGTGTCCGTTCAAGTCACTTCAGGCCACTTCAAGTGTTACTTCAAGTCACTTCAAGTGTGAGCTCAAGACACTTCAAGTGTCCGTTCAAGTCACTTCAAGTGTCAGTTCACGTCACTCCAAGTATCGAAGTGTCACTTCAAGTACTGAAGTGTCGCTTCAAGTCACTTCAACTGTCAGTTCGAGTCACTTGAAGTCACATCAAGTATTTAAGTGTTACTTCAAGTCACTTCAAGTGTCAGCTCAAGTCACTTCGTTTCAGAAATGGAATTCCGATATTAAATTCTGATGACAACTGAATAATCTGGAAACTGACACGAATGCTTCAATCAAGCAAAAACGAAAAATTATGATTTGGCTGTACACAAGTGCAAAAGTTAGGAACACAGCTGAGAAAATGTAGTGATCAAAAATAGCGATTTTCTAGGAGTAATAAATACCGGTAAATTGTGTGAAATCAAAATATTGTATCATAAAATGAGGTGTGTAGAAATTACAGGAAATATATTTATTATGTTATTTTCATGTTATATTATTTTATGTTATTTTCAGTTTGAAATACACTTTTATTTTATATACGTAGAAAAATATTTCCAGCTTAACATTAAGAAAAGAGCTAAGATAGAAGAATATAAATACATCTTACATCAACACGTGTTTAAACAATAAACAAAAACAAATTTAAATTACTTTAGACGATAATCGCACAGACATTAAATGTTCACTTCTTGGTTGTGATATTGAATTTTGTTTCAAAATTCTTGCTTCTGATTTTTTTGCTCGTTCACATGAAATGATAATGAGTTGATTATGATCTAATCCAAATCGAATATATTCATTACCACTTTCAGTATTTGATAAACGATCAATTTCTTGTGCTAAATGTCGAATACTACGTATTTTAACATCATTCATTGTTTCCAAAATACAATTTGAAAATGATCCATTCGATATCCCTAGAAGTATATGACAGTAAGAGTTTTAACTGTATAGCTGAATATCGAGTGTGTTTCGGATATTTTGTTATAACATAATTTAGTAAAGACACAACAATCATTGATTTTTTATTTCAAATAAAAACAACCCTAGTGAATGTACTTGCGAGTGGATACTTATTTACTTGCAAATTTCCATGGGTACTTGAAAAACACTTTTTGGTTAATTGGATTAAAAGTTCCGCTTTTCTCCAATCGAAAAAACAAACAAAACCGCGGCACACTAAAATGCTTTTCTATATAGCACGTGACGTCACATCACGTTCAAACAATAAGAATCGTTGACATAATGATGAAAATTGTTAGGGAAGTTACTGTTTTAAATTGCTTGACTATTAGCAGAGATCGGCAGCTGCGCCGTGGTTGCCGTTACCCACAACAGCATATTACAATCATTTATCTTTCCTACAGATTCCTCTGAGCAAAACACCTATTCTCTACTCTCGAATACAGGTTATTGTGTATATATCCGGAGTTACAAAGGCCTGACCGTTATTCATGATCGTAGCATAGCCCAACCGAACACCATGAACCTAGTTTAACGTCGTTGCGGATGAAGTGAATGAAAAAACCTTACCAAAAATTTTCGGCGAAAAACTTATTTGCCCAAAAGTTGTTGAAAAACACATTTTCCGATGTAGTTGATGCTGAATATGTATAATTTATCTTGACAAAATTATTTGTTATTCGACAAATGCCTGAAAGTACTTGCAAGGTACTTGATTTACTTGTCGAATCCCCCACGGATACTTGGGCAAGTGCTTAGCAAATGACTTGACAAGAAGATAAAGTAATTCAATTGCTTGATTTTCTTGCCAAGTACTTCGTTTCCTTGCAAAAAAGCGTTAGACAAAACTTGTAATCACTGTAAGAAAAAGTTGTCACATCGTGATCGCATCTTTCTCTTACAATCGCGACATGATACATTGTCGGAGCTCGTCTCCCGTGCAGTTTACGTTAATATCATTTTCAAGTTTAGGTTAGTGAAATTTAACAGCTACCTTAAGATATATTTAACAAATATACGTCATAACATTTCCTCTCGTACGTTACAAAGTTATATTGTATAAATACATGTCGTTTAGTATTAGAATGTTCCTTCTAGATTCTGAAACTCTTTCGTTTTTCAGAGAGAAAATAAACTGCAAAACTGTTTTGAAGACCGCAAAGAATGAAGAATACTGGAATCGATAGAAAGTTTGTCTACAAATTGATCATATCAGAATATCTCATGGACTTTTTCCGTACTTACGTAAAGAATAAAAAACGAACAGTATAATCCATAACGACAGGCGTATTCAGAAAATACAGCTTACTATTGTACAACTGGGTCATGTCGAATAGATTTCTCAATTATACCGAAATGTAGCCGATAAATTTCATTCGAATAACTGTTTCCTTTCTTTGCTTACGATAACCGTGACACGAAGAAACAACATGAGGTTACTAATAACGCAGTTTGTCATCACACCTAACTTACAATAGTGTGCGTCAAAATGCCACAAGATACAATTCATTCTGTTTCTCTTTTGTATAAACTTACCATAGTTGACAATGTCATCAACTAGAATTTGATTAAGAACAACAATTTGTGTATCTGATTGTTCTTTTAAACTAAAATATGTTAAATTAACGAGATTAGTCGGTGCTTTTCTATACCAATCATCTTCACCATATTCTTGTAAATAACTTTGACTTAAAACCGTAAACACAATACCACCATATATCAAATATTCAGGATGTTTATCATGAAGTTGTTTGGGAACAAGTGGTTCAATATATTCTAATGAACTCAATATATTCAACTCTTTACCTAACACAATAAAAGTAAAATACATATTTATACATTTTATTACCAGAAAAGTTGTTAACAAACCTTCTCGAATAATTGTAAATCTCATTGTATCACCAACAAATTTTGATTTTTCCATATATGTAAAATATAAACGTTCACCACGTCGAAAATATACTGTACCATCGTCTGCAATTGGTACACCGTCTAAAGCTGTTATAACATCATATTTTTTTAGTACTTGACTAAGAATACAAGCGGGATCTATTGATGTCATTAATATGCCATGTTTATCATTAGGAATTTTTAAATATTCACGAAGTGATTCATTTTCTAATTTTTGCCAATTAAACGACATACATGGAAAGGCAGTATAACAGCCATGCAATTCAATATCATCTAAAACATGTTTAATAACACATACAGGTATAATAAAACCAATTGATTGAGCTTGTGCTTGACCCTGAAATGCCATACCAACAACATGTTTTCCTAAAAATATAATTTAAAATATATTTCTAATTTTTTCACTTTTAAAGAGATTTAAAAAATCATTTCGTTTTACCTTGTATAGCTGGGCCACCACTATTTCCCGGATTTATGGCTGCATCAATTTGAACAGATAATAATGTTTCTTTTGAATGTGAATATGTTGACATTACAACTCTTGATACAATGCCTTTTGTTACAGATAAATTATCACCACCAATTGGGAACCCAACAACCGTTACTGATTCTTGTAATCGTGGAATATCACTACAAAATGTTAATGGTTCTAAACCTAACCAAAATTTTTGTTCATCTACTGTCATTATGACAAGATCACATTCATGGGCAATATACAATATACGAGCAGAATATTTGGTAGCATCACCATGTTTTCGAATACGAATACTAGATGCATTTGTCACGGCATGAGCATTTGAAAGAATCCACTTGTTTTTAATGATAAAACCAGATGCTGTTTTTGTTTTTTGATGTTTCATTTGCCTAAAAATTCATGTAAGACGTCGTGTCTCAATGAATCTAACAAGACATTAAGAAAAATGTCTTACCAAGGTAGGTAAAAATTACACGGTGTGGATGTACAAAAGACTTTGACAACACTATTTAAAACTAATTCTAAGGATTCAATGGCATCGTGATCTAATGATTGAGTGAGAGAAGGTTGACGACTGTGCTCAACGCTAATACGAATTACTGGTGTGGAATCGGGTGATATAATTGTTTCTTCATTTGGTGGATGATGGTCATCGGTTACAGGTGATGATGGAGTCGTTGTTATTCCATCGACTGATGATTGATTATTCAATACAATTGCTTTGTTCTTCATTATAGAACCACTTAACAGATAATTACAACAAAAAATATGAAAATCTGCAAAAAACAAAATACATATCAATTATAGACATATAGTGGTACAAACGATAAATATCCAAGGAGTAGTTGTAAACGTCAGTTCTGAAAGTTGCCAACCTCTAGTTGAGCTCTTAAGAAAAAAACTGATCTAGAATGTTGTCTTGCTCTTCACCAACGGTGGCTATTTGTTTTATGTGCAATTGCTACATCAAGGTATGTGATGGTACAAAAACATTTCTGCAGTCTATACTACAAAAACAGTTATATTCTGACATGTCATTATCTCATACCCTTAGAGGTATCATCACCCTTCATCTAACATTGTTCGATAGGTGACCATCTTGATAAACACAACGGTTTATCATATCATATGTTTGTTTGTTAAAAGAATTATCAGAGAAACTAGACAATCAGTCGCTATTTTAAAAGAAAAAATTAAAATATTGAAAATAAAGAGAAATTTCTTCAGAATTTCTCCAGGTGAAACTCAGTCTTAAATGGTAATACAAGATCTGCCGTTTTCTTACAAGATCTTGTAAGATCCTGCGGAATCTTAACTCAACTTCTTGCCATAAGAACTTACATGATCAGCTCATAAAACGTGACAAGATCGTGGTTAAACACGATCCTATGGACGTTTATGTCCTACCCAGGTCAAAGAATCTGGCTGTAAGATCTTATAAGATTCTTGTAAAATTCTGCAAGATTCATATAAGAATTTGTAAGATTCTATAAGAAACATAAAAACTGATTCTTGATTTAAGATCTTATAGTGAGATTTCATCAGATTTCGTAAGATTCTTGTATGACTTTTATAAGATTATATAACATGAATCCGTTCTTATGATTTTCCGTAAGATTTTGATCTGATTTTTTGACCTGGGAGGATTAGATAAAAGTTTAAAACTGAATAAAAAGTTACTTCTCAGAAAGATTGTTTTTTTACAAATATTTGGAAGCAAATGCTTTTTTTTAATATTTCTTACCACAGACCCATCTTAAGGAAGTAATCTTTATACTCTGATGCATTGCGCCATAACTCTAGTGGGCGCGGACATCTCTTTTCTTTCAAACTTTCTTAAAACTAGCGATGTGCACATACAGATTTCCATCCCTAGGAAACATCACCCATGAGAAAAATGTAGATACATTTCGTCTGTAATCGGGAGAAACACTATTGCAATCTAGATTACTAGTTAGAAAAGGAACTATTAACTAGATGTGTCTGCACGTACAACTAACAATAGTTAAGTTGATCGATTATCGGGCGATAAATCGATAGTTGCAACTAAGTAGATGATATCTAGCAACCGACCGATCACTATATTTCCACTGTCATTACCCAACAGTTGTGATCGAGTGAAAAACCAAGTAATCTAGATGAATCGACCGATACTACACTTTTTTATGCTTGGGACGTGACACGAGTCCACCTTCTTTGCTGCATTCACGTTGCGAACACGGTCCTCGCTCTGCAATGGCGTAACACTTGCGTAATCGTAATAATTCGTAATCGCGATGAAGTATCACGAAAATTTTTAATCCGCGATCGTAAAACGCCAATAGCGATCGCGATCCAAGCACGATTACTGTAAGAAAAAGTTGTCACATCGCGATCACATTTTTCTCTTAAAATCGCGACATGATACAGCGTCTCCTATGTAAATCCTATTCACCGTTTTGTTTTGCGTACGCATCTGCTTTATAACTCTTACCAATTTTTCGAAAAATTTTAATATCTTGTTACATTTTGAAAAAATTATTTGAATGAGCAGTTGGAAATAAAGTTTTAAATATAAATTATAATACGGCTATGAAAATCATAATAAAAAATTCTTCTGAATTTATTTAAACACTCGAGGTTTCGATCACAACTTAGATCATTTTCAGGAGTGAATGACAAAAGGAAAAGAAGCAGTATATATATATAAAAATACATGCAGAGCGAAAGAAGAATTTTGGAAAAATCTAAAATATCAAACAATAACGAAAGAAGAAACCATAATAACACATTAGAATGCGGCATTCTAATGTGTTATTATGGCTTTTTCCTCTTCTTCTTTCGCTATTATTTGGTATTTTAGTTTTTTCCGAAATTCTTTCACTCTATATTTCTATTCTCATATTATACTTTAAATTTAAAACTTCACATTTTAATAATAGCTTATGACATGACTAATATAGTAGCTAAAATTCGCGAGTCTTACAGCGAACGCGATCCTGCCGCAAATTTTTAAAGAGGACTCACGTTGCGACATGCGATAAAAAAGTGAACTTGTGTTGGTTTTACGTCTATCTGGTAGATTCAATCCGATAATATTTGCTCCTTTACGTTGGAAGAAATAAACATCATACCTTTCTATATGAACAGTCCTACGCATCTCACTACAGTAAGATGCACCCAGGGCAGCCTTGCAGTGAAATTTATTTTTCGACACTTCATACACCATTCGATAGAGAATTTCGCGGTGATCACGAATATCACTTCCAAGGCT